TTTATATATACACACACACACACACACACATATTACACAATTATACAATGGAGATTATAATACTATAATCTCCTATATATAAATATATAAATCACCTCTCACCCCTATGGGTGGTATGTGTCTTCCTCAATCTTGGGTCCTCTATCTGGGAGTTTGAGGGTTCTGCGCAGTATCTTGGCTGTTCCTAGCACTGCAGTCTTCTGGACAGAGAGCTGTGATGTTGTTCCTGGGATCTGTGGGAGCCAGATTTATGTGTGTGTGTGTGGGTGTGTGTGTTTATCTGATTATCTATACCCTCAAGTTAGCCGAAACAGTGCGTTATACCACAACAATTTTTGAATCAAGGTAAAATCCACTAATTTAAGAGGGTGTAAAAAATCCAGGACCCATTACTCCTGTGGAATTGAAATTTCCATGATGTTCACACCAGTTTTATTCGCAAAGTTATGGCCACTGCAGCATCCCTGCAGTCACGTGATTTCTGACACTCCCCGCCAGCTTCCCACAAGCAAAGTCAGTGGGGAAGCCAGCAGGAAGTCAGAAGTCACCCACTGCTTTTTTGCCTGTCCGTGGTCATTCTGTTTATCTGTTTTGGTAAGTAAATATTAACTTATTATTGAAGTTCTTTTGCCGCTACAATTATTTTTCTGTGTACGATATATACTCTTCTTAGATGATCACAGGACCATCCAGCATTAGGGTAAAAAAAATAGGGTCAGCCTAAAATTTAATGTTCATTGTGGTCACATCAGACTGCATTAGGGCTGTCTAATATATATACCAAGTTAGTAAATATATAAGATAAGCAAAACAATTTTAACTAGAATTAAAATACCAAAAAAAATAATTTAAACAAGAAAAAGGAAAAAGAACTATTGGGTTTCTAACTTCCCTCTTTTTGTACATCTGCTAATTTACCATATTGTAGACATTTAAGCTCCCTTAGAAGCCAGACTGTAAGTGATTATATTTGCTGTGCTGCATGATATATTGTATTTATGGGAACCATTTTGGCTTAAATTTGGTTAAACTTCTATTAGGTATATATACTGTTAGTTTTGCCATTGCTGCTTATTCTCCAAGTTTAACTTCCCAATCAGATATTGTCGGAATAGTATCTTTCTTCCAGTGTTGAGAGTATTTCACATTTTAGACCCCCAGAAAACAAGCTTTCGGTTTCCTAAATATCCTTTTTCAGGAAGACAATCCTATAAATAATGTTATATGTGTTCTCTTCTTCCCCAGCAGTAAAAAGCTTTTGCACTGAAGTCTTGTGGCAGATTTAAATACCTGCCTTACACAAAGGCAGAGATGTGGAGTCAACAGCAGGTGTTCCTACAAGGCAGGAGAACTTCTATCCCACATCAAATATGGGACCCTGCACTTCCAAAATGCTTCCAGCCAACTCATCGGTGATTCACATACACACACATATACACACATACACATCCTTGTTAGCTTGCTTCTATTCTGGGATTTCTCATAGGTATCTAGTTGTTACCAAGTCTAATAAACTGAATAATGGCGTAGGCTGGCCTTTGATCTTACCCACTGGATTATTTTATTTATTAGTCAAATTTAAAAGGCCACCCAACTCATAGCAACTCTGGGTGGCATACAAGCTAAAAACCTTTATATAAGTTTAAAAAAAAAACACCCTACAGAAAGATTCCATGCCATCTCCTACTTCTGGAATCCCAGTGAAGTTCCCAGGGGCAACAATGTTCCAACCAATATGTTTTTTTCCAGCCTGCTAAGCAACATGTTCCACCTAATTTGATTTTTAATTTTAAAAAATTGGTGGGAAGCTGACTAGGTTGCTATCTACCTTAGCAACCATCTTATGGCTGCCCATATTGTGTTCTCCAAATTCCAGATGTGCCCACTGGGCTACAAAGGTTGGGGAGTCCTTTACAGGCAGTCCCCAGGTTAAGAACGAGATCCGTCCCTAAGCCTGTCTTTAATTCAAATTTGTATGTAAGTCAGAACTTGTACGTACAAACGGGCTGCCTATTACTAAAAATCGTGGATGGCATTCTCCTTCCTTGAGCCAATGACCACTGAAACCTCACAATGTTTTCATGAACCCCTTAAAACAGGCTGTATATTAAAAATGCGTGAATTCAGCAGTTCATGAAAACATTGTGCAGCTTCAGTGGTTCATCAGCTCGAGGAAGGAGAACACCATCTGCCAATAGGCAGCCCATCCGTAAATACAAGTTGTCTGTAAGTCAGGCATTCTTAATCCGAGGGCTGCCTGTACTAACCATTAATTGGCCATCATTTGCAGAGTAAGCAGTTACTCCAATAGCTGTTACAGTAAAAGGCATTAAAGAAACAGAAGGTTGACCCAATCACACTAAACCTCAACTATCCATATATGCATACTCTGCAAAAGAACCTGTACTCTGGAGGGATTGGGGCTGACTGAAGTTCCTCTAGAAAGTTATGCATGCTCTTGGCAAGAGCAAATGTGATGAGTTCAGCCAATGTTTGCCATTTTTGGAGGTGCACTGGCTTGGTGGATGTCAAAAAGAAAAAAGAGGAGGAGGAGGAGGAGGAGGAGGAGAGAATGCTATGAAAGAAAACAACATGGGTTGACACTGAATTGGGACCTAGTTTATGTGCCTTAATGCAGATTTAGGAAGATCGTTACATGCCAAAGATACAGTACAGCTCTGCAAACTGAAAGACTGTGTGATCAGGTAACTCATGTGCCTGTTTATTTATTTATTTATTAATTATTAAATTTGTATGCCGCCCATCTCCCCTAACAGGTGACTCTGGGTGGCTCAGTTAGCTAACAGTTGAGCCAGATAGTTTAGCCTGCTATCCGTATACTGGCTGGTGATGAACTACTTCAAGATACCTGATGCTCTACTCCTATTGTTATTTATAGTTTAAAAATGGGTCTTGGACAGCCTTTCAAACAAAGAACATCTCCAGATAGAAGGCTACCTACTAACAACCCTTCAAGCAAAGAGAAGACTGCTACATATTCCCCTGAAGTTACTAGGAACTGGAGTTTTTCAATTCCACACCCCTGCAGTATGAAGCGTAGCTTAAAAAAAAGATGAAGACTGGGTAGGCACTGAATTTTTCCCTTCATTTTCCAGCTGCACACTCAAAGTAATCCTCCGATTGTATGTGTGTATTTTTCATCAAGTGACAATAATAAACGGACATCAATAAGCCACATTAAGGAAGAAGTGCAGTTCCTGTAGCTTCTGAGTGATGTTTAAGCACCTTGTGGGAAGCTCTGTTTGTCTATTACTTTCAGTACCATTATCACACGTCAATAGGTCTTACAGGGCATTCTTTAGTAAAGATTTTTAAAACAGTTTTCTGTAGAGGTTTTCAGTTTCAGTCATGGTTCAAATGTAATTTTATTTTTGTAAGAACACTGTGGTTTTTTGACAATACACGTCAGTCATAGATCAGTGCCAGTAAAATGAAACACTTGTTTCCGGTTGTTTTAAAACATACAGTGGATTAAAATGTTCTCTTTAATTTGGGCACAGATACAAACCTGGACTCAAAAGACTAAATAAGATTTGACTGCTGAAAAAGTATTTAAAGGAGAATATATTTTCAATAATTAAAGAGAAAATTTCTCAGTGAAAAAGCATAGGCACATGCTAACCAAAAGAGTTTAGTTTTAGAGTTCTAGAGTTCTAGAATTTAGACTTTATACACTAGAAAAAATAATCAGAATTGCTCTCTGTAAATTTTGTTATTCGCTCATATCATGATATTAACAAGGACTATACATTCACTTCATTATCCATTTTTAATATAATTTTTATTGAGACTTTTAAACAAGCAAAAAGTACATGAAAAGAAAAAAAGTTGAAGAATCTCAAAAAGAAAGAAAAAAGATATAAAGAAGTGGTTTCTGATATTCTTCACAGCAGTTATAAGGACAAATATATTTTAACCTCTCTCTCTAAAGTTACATCATAATACTCTTCTTTCTATAATCTACCTGTCTAACCATCAAAGCCATAAATCGGCTGATGGGGACCCGGAGACGTGCCTTTTCTGCTGTGGCGCCTGCCCTCTGGAACATACTCCCTGCTGAAATTAGGATGGCCCCAATCCTTTTGGCTTTTCAGAAGGCCTTGAAGACCTGGCTTTATGCCCGTGCCAGGGGCCCCAAGTGTGTGAAGGGCCCCGTTTCATGGTTGTGCTGATACCGATAGTTTTTAAAGATCTCTTGGCTGTATTTATATTTATATTTAATTTTTTGTACTGTTTTAAGTGTTGACTGTTTTTATTGTTATTAGCCGCCTAGAGTCATTGGTCTGAGATGGGTGGCTATATAAATTAATTTTTTGTACTGTTTTAAGTGTTGACTGTTTTTATTGTTATTAGCCGCCTAGAGTCATTGGTCTGAGATGGGTGGCTATATAAATTAATTTTTTGTACTGTTTTAAGTGTTGACTGTTTTTATTGTTATTAGCCGCCTAGAGTCATTGGTCTGAGATGGGTGGCTATATAAATTAATTTTTTGTACTGTTTTAAGTGTTGACTGTTTTTATTGTTATTAGCCGCCTAGAGTCATTGGTCTGAGATGGGTGGCTATATAAATTAAATAAATAAATAAATAAATAAATAAAATCACAAGTTTATTTTTTTCATTTTTATGCAAAAAGTCCATAAGAGTCTTCCTGTCACCAATAAATGTAAATAATGTATTTTCTGTAATTAAAGAAGTCAATCAATCCATTTCAGCAAAATCTGTCAACTTCACCAACCATTCCTCCATAGTGGGTAGTGTAGAATCTTTCCATCCCTGTGCATATAGTAATCTCACTGCAGTAATCATTGAAATAATATCCTATGGCTTTTTTCTAACTGTTTATCCATTTGTCCTAAAAGGAACTGTTCTGGCTTTATCTGAATATTGATCTTTAAAATCCTCTGTATCAAAGTATATATTTGAATCCAAAATTTTTTAGCTTTTTTACATGCCCACCTAGTTTTTTTTTTATTATATTTTTATTATACATATAAAAATGAAGACATACTGTATTACATCAGATTTCAGCAGTTTGTAGGTTCATTTGGAGCAAAAATCAAAAGCACTACAAAATAAATTCACACAGTAAATGTATTATATGTATTAAAAAATGTTCCTCAAAATTTCCTTTTTACCTTCCCCGAATAATTTTTTCCTCATTGCTTCAGTTTCCAGAACTTCCTCGTTTCTACTAAGAGATGATAGAGAAATTGATTAGAGGATTAAAATTTGTTTTTTTTTTTAGTTTGTAGTTTAAATTAGAAGAGTATGCTACTGAGTTGTTTGACAGAATTCCAAAAAAAAACGGATTGAAAATTATGAAAAGATCTGAGGGATATTTTTGCTCGAATAAAAAGCTGAATGATAAATCTGTTATTGCTTTGATTATAGAAAAAGGATGGATTAAAAATTACTTCATTATAGGGGACATAGTGAAACTTATTTCAAATAAAGTCAAAATTTACATTAAGCAAAGTTTACTAATTCATGTAATATGTATTATATCAGTATAAAAATATACAGTTAGCATAAATACAGTGTGTGACCAAAAGTCAAGGCCCATAAATAATTTTTTTATATAAATTACATTAAATGTTTAAATTGGTTGTTATTTTCTTCTAAACACTTCCTTACCCATTTGACACATGGCTTTTGAACATTGCTAGGTACAGTGACATTTCCTCTGAAAAAAGATTAATAAAATTAATAAAACATATTGTGATTGTCCTACAGACCTGACTTTTGGTACACTATATTTATACCACTTGAAAAGTGTCTACCCAGTGTCTACACAAAGGGAAACCATGCAGTCCAGTGCTGTCAGCAGCCCTCATGCTTCTCCCAGCCCCCAGTGTTGGGCTGATTATTATTATTATTATTATTATTATTATTATTATTATTATTATTATTTTAAATTTTCTAAGGAATCTGGTGGCTATAGGAGGTAACATGGCCCCAAATCATGCATTTTTCTCCTCAAAACTTGAGAACCTCCCTCTCCATATGGGCCCAGTCCCAATCTATTTTGGAGTGTGGCCCTCTGCATGCTATACAGAGTCTTGGGAGCCCCTTGAACCAACCAAAGTTGCTAGTTCACCCACATATTTCCCTTATGAGATTGAAGTTAAGCCCTTAATTCCCTTGGATTATGATGCAAACCTCAGTGCATTCCAACATAGGACCTTACTCCCAAGTAAAAATCCATTAAGTTGTAATTAAAGTTCTTGCTTAAGTTTCCAACCTAAATTAACAAAAAGGAAAAGGACCTAAACTTAATCTGAGGGTACCCCATTTTTCTGAGCAATTTGTGAACTGTGGGTATGGGAGATGACAGAGGTTGACTTATATTTCCTGTTGAGCAGGAGGAATCTTTAATTATAATGTCCAGACAGTGGTGGTTTCTTTCCATCTTAGGTTAGGAAATGTACATTCTTCAGTTGGCATGTGTCACTTTCAGAATGACATAATTCATCCATGCACAACTAAGAGTGGTCTAACTGCACGTAGGGGGAAAGGGGCTACAGCAACAGCACTTCCTGTTTGTTGAAACTGCATTTTCTGTTTTTGTCTCCTTCCCATGAAACAGCAGAAAGTGAGGAAAGCTTGGAAAGGCTCCAGAGCAGTACTTTATTCAAACTTGCCTTGTGCCTGAACTCAAACTGAAATACAGGTCTAAGCAATTTATTGGCTACAGACCTAACCTGCTTTCTGCAGTTCAGCAGCTGCTTTGACCACATTAAATTTGCCTTGGGTGGGAGGAACTACTCCAGAAGCTGAGCAAAGGATATGCTTCAGAAAGCTGTACTCAGGGTGGACAGAAGCTCAGGTAATTCTCTATTACAAGTTCAGAACGTTATGCATGCAGAATCTTCATTCAAGTCTTTTTCTTATTTTATTTTATTATGCTAAACTAATCAACCAAAAAGCAAAGTACAAACACATACAGAGTAGCAATATAGTATCAACACAACCTTAAATATTTATAGCAAGAAAAAAGAAGAAAAGAAGGCATAGAAATGATGTTATATATTGAGCAATTGCAAAAACTTTGATCATACTACTTGAGATTCTTCTTTCTTGCTTCTTTGTGGGGGGAAAAAAACTAATTCAACTGTTGTCAAATAACACATAACAACAACACCTCATAATTTTTCTAACCAGCCTCTATGACTTATTGATATCTTGATAGACTTCAAATATAGGTGATATAATCAAGATGAACGTATGCATATTTAACATGCAATAGTTGATCTAGAGTCATATTAACAATCCTGTAGTGTTAGCCCCAAATGGCCCAACAATGGAACAAGAACAAACATGTCAACTCGGAAGTAATTATCCCTACGTTTATTTTTGCTTACTCCAGGCCAGCATGTCTAATGATAAGGAATGCTAGGAACTATAATTCAACAGCTGGAGAGTTACAGATTCCTTATTCCTGGCTGAAACTCTACTCAAGCATTAGAATATCCAGAGCCCTTTCCCCTGCCAGTGTTATTAAAATGATACTGGTACCCTGCAAACATTGGAAAGAGACCTTTAGATGTACAACTGTAGGTGTGTTGTTCCACAAGAGCAAAGACTGCATTATCATTGTCTTTGGAAGCCAATAGGTATATTACATGCACAGATGCTGATGTGTTGAGTGTTCTAATAATCTAACATCTAATGTGGAGTTTAGCAGGCTTTTTTTTTTTTTTTAGTAGTCCACTTAGAAATTGAACTGTTAGTGTTACAAGTTATCAGGTATCTTCATAATAGGCTATAGTTCCTATCCCATCCATGGAATTAGAGGTAAGGAAAAAGGATTTCCCTTCCCTTCCCCAAACATACTTGCATTGAAATAAAGATCAGCATAATTAATAAATTCAGGCATTTTAGCACACCAAACATGATTATACACATGATAAAATCATTGCTCTTACATGTTTTATACATCCCCAACATTAAGGAATGGCATCCATACATTACATCAGCTATTCAAACATATCCGAAATTAATCAATATTATATCTAAGCAAGAATCAGAAAGCAGACATTACCAATTATGATAATTCAGGAAGTAAGCAAACATAAAATATTTATCAATTTCTCAAATAGAACTGTGATTGCAATTGTATATGATCAGTAGCAAAAATTCAACACATACACACATAAAGCAAATATTGTACATAGGTACATCAAGAAAATAAGCCAAGCTTTTTGCATAGAATCATTCACACATATACATTAGATCAGATCCTCGACTCTTGGCAGTTGGCAGTTCATAGCAGGCTGATGCATTTGTCCTCTGAACAAATCTATAGTGACCTTCCTTAACCTGGTAACCTCTAGAGCTGTTCTCAGGTTTGAAATTCTGAGAGTTTCTACATTAAAAATAAATGTTTGCATCCATAATATCTCATAAACCACTCTTAGCTCAGTGTTGGCTGGGGAGTTTGAAGTTCAACCCACATAGAGAGCAATACAAGTTAGGAAAGATGCGTGTAAGAAGTAAAGTCTTCTTGACTCCAGATGACTTCATGGATGTAGCCAAGTAGCCTTCTATCTAAGTGCTGGACTCTGGACTCAACACAAACATACTGATAAGGGGATGTGTCATCTCTTCTGACCTACCACACCAAAGCAACCAGTGAATTTCCTGGAAAAGGGAGTCTTTCTAAATATGTATTTAAATATGGCAGCAAAGAAAAACATTTCCTTCTTTATTGTTGCTACAACCACAGCTGTGCTTAGCTTTGCATGATAAAGAGTTGGGGATTGTTTGACGAGGTTATTTGAATTGTGCGTCTTGAATTTAAATAAAAGGATGCAAAGTTAGATAGCAGCAGCATAGATAGGGATAGGCAGTTCCAATTCCACTGGTTTGTAGAGCATCTGGACATTTTCCTCTTCCATCACATAGCTACAAACAGCCTTTCCATGCTGATGCTGCTTTACGTTGTTATTCTATAAGGTATTATCTATATAAATGTTTATGAAATCTTCTGCATTTGTGTTAACAAAAGCCATAGGGGAATAATAAGCCAGACAGCAATACTGCATTACTAACATGGAAAAAATATTTGGCAGGATTTTAGCCATTCAGGTATTGCTCACTCCATTATTTTCAGAGACTCTTGCTTTTTCTTTTCTGAACAGGTCCAAATGATTAATTTTGCTTCCCAACCATAACCCTGATATATACCTTCCTGCTAGTGCAGTCTAATGGGAAACTGAGGTTGAAATAGTTACCTGCTCCACATGAACCAAAGCCAGTTCCAAGTTAGAAGAGCTCACTGGCAAAGTATCTTCCTAGATCAGAGAGTGAGGTCTACAAGTGGTGTTTCCCCTACTTGCTTTCTCACCTATTCATTTGCTTCTGGCTTTAGCTATTGGTAACAGCTGGATGTGCAAAACTTGCCTGAAAATTTTGGTACCTACAATGGGCTGTAAAGTCACTACAACAGTTGATCCAGGTCACTGGGTAAATTCAAAATGGGATTCAGTTTTCCAACTATTGCTGGTGCCACCAGATAACCCCATGGACAGAAGACTGGTTGGATGGATGAGTCAACAACTAGAACTGCTGCACACCTCTTGAGCTCTCAGATGTCTGGTGGAACTGCTTCTGTGGTCAGACTTGCACTGAATAATGGCTAGGCTGGGATTTAACTCTAAGTCATCTAGGGTCAAATCTAACTGTCTGTCTCCAGCATCACACTGAGACTATGTTTATTTTCCATCTATGTTGGCATTAAATGGATGTGGGATTCTGTTTAATACAGTGGTTCAAATTCTTCTCTGTGATAATACACCAAGAAACTGAAGAGAGAAACTTTAGAGGTAAAATAATGTTTGGTGCATTCTACAGGAAATGGTATATTATACTGTATTATGAACAGGGAGAGAGGATATTTTTAAACCATACTGGCCGATGTCTCCTTCCAAGGGTTTGCTTAAAATTGTGATTTTTGCTAAAAATTGTAGCCCAAACCTCCTGATGCATCCTAGACAGTCTAGATAGAAAGTTTGTAGCTGTTCTACCAAAGATTTCTCCCTTCAGCCCAGCTGTATAGAAATAGAAAGGAGGGTGCTTTGGAGCTTTTAGGCGAAAGCCCAGAACTGGCAAACTTAACAAACCTAGTGCCAGTCTTGAAACATAAGGGTTAATAATTATGAAATCTTGCACATGGAAAAATTTCCAATGAGAAATTTTCTTTTTAAACAAATAAAGCCAAAACTCACTTTAAAAAAAAGTCTATGGAAAAAAGGGGAGTAAGGAGAAACAAGAAAAGGCAAAAAATCACACACTCAGAATCCCAGATAAAACTAATACAGTTAGCCTAATTTAACTATTTACTTGCTTCAAAATATCTTGACTTTCAAAACCTGTTTGGAGCTCATTGGAGAGAGGGTGGTTGCAGAGAAATCATCTAGGATTCTTATTTGGACTTAATTGAGCAGGACTTCTTCATTATTTTTTCTTCAAGTCCTGTTATTCTGCCTCATGGGGGGGGGGGGAGAGGAGTTCCTGAGAAGCATGAACAACACCAAATGTGTATATACTCCCCATAGTCACCCAAAGTATGAAAGTTATTTCAGCTGCCCAGCTAAAGCAAGCAGGTACCTATAAAAAGCAACATCAATATAGGAGGTACTGGAGGCAGGTTATCATTTTAAAGAAAGCAATTAAGTCATCATTACATTACATCATTACATACTGTGTGGGAGAAGGCAACAGCAAATCACTCCTGTATTTTACCAAGAAAACCACATGGATAGACAAGATGAAGTGATTGATGATAGGGGCCGTCAGTTTCAGTGGTACTCAACATGCTACTGGGGAAGACCTGAGGAGTAATTCTGGTGTTTATGATGTGGCTAGATTAAAACCTTCCAGGCATCTAGTTGCTGATATTATCATCCAGGAAAATAAAATCTGAAGCTTCAGAAGCAGAATTATAGTGGAAATGTGGAACATAAGAAGCACCAACATGAGAAAGCTCAAAGCAATTAAAGACGAAATTAATTTTGTTGACATCTTGGGTATCAGCAAATTCAAATTGACTGGAATTGGACACTTGCAGTCAGAAGATCGTACTGTTTACTACTCAGGGCATGAAAAATAAAGAAGGAACAGCACTGCTTTCATAGTGAAGAAGAACATAGCAAAGAGAGTCCTTGGGTACAATATAGTCAATGGCTGAATAAATATCAATTAGATTTTGCAGACAACCCTTTAATATTATGGTTATTCAAGATTATGCCCCAGTCACTGATGCAGAAAAAAAAAAGAAACTTGATGAGTTTTATGATAAAATCAGTCTGGAATGGATAGAACGAGCAAACAAAAATGTGCTGCTTCTGGTTGGAGACTGGAATGCCAAAGTAAGGAGGAAATGTAGTTGGACTGTATGGACTAGAAAACAGAAATGAAGCAGAAGAGCAACTTATCAGCTTCTGCTAATCCAATGATTTCTTCATTGTTAACACATTTTCAGTCAACCAAAACAGCACCTAGATATAGGGCCATCAACAGATGGAGCAGATAGAAATCAAATCAACTGTATTATTGGTAGAAGGAGATGGAAGTAGTCAGTTATAACAGCAAAGGCATGTCTAGGGGCTGATTGTGGAATAGATCATAAATTGTTTATGTGCAAGTTCCAAGTCACGCTAAAGTGGAAGGACAGAGCCAACCTGTTTCCATAATATGATACTGAGCATACATCCACCATTTTCAAGGAGAACAACAGGAATTGCAATGTAGTTCTGAACCTCATTGATAGGGAGCCAGAGGAATTGTGGAATGAAATCAAAGGTTGTAATAGTATGTGGGAATAACCTTGAGAGACAGGGAGAAGAGATGCAGCCAAGGGAACAGACAGATAAAAGGTAACTTAGCCTGTAGCAGGAATGTGGGCAGGGCAAGTGGCTCAGAAGGGACCCTCCCTAGTTTCTTGGGCTGTAAAGGGGATGGGAGTTGGGGAGAAATGTACTTTCACACTTGCAATTTTCTGTTAGTGTAACCATACAATAAAGTAGAATTAGCTCATCTGGCTGTACTTCCTGTCTGGTCTACCTTGCAAGGCTGACATAGAAATTGTTAAAGATGAATGCGAAAAGAGATTACCAAAGACCCAGAAACAGAAGAAAGGAAACTTGATGTCAAAAGAGATGGTAGAAAATTCCAAGAAGAGAGAAGATAAAAGGTAACTTAGCCTGTAGCAGGAATGTGGGCAGGGCAAGTGGCTCAGAAGGGACCCTCCCTAGTAAAACCAAGAAAGACTGCAGCAAGCAAAGTTTTTGGCATCCCATGGTTTGCCCAAAGGAACTGCTTCCAGTTCCTTTCTGGGTGCAGTCCAAGGTGCTGGTTATTACCTTTAAAGCTTGAATGGCACAGGGCCAGTTATCTGTGGGACTGCCTCTCCCTGAGGGTATTTGCCTACTCGACCAGGTCTGTTAGGGTGGAAATGTCCCAGGTCCCTTCCTTTAAAGTTGCTATCTGGTGGGACCTATTCAGCGCACCTTCTTGATAGCAGTCACTGCCCTTTGGAACACCCTTCCCCCTAATATCTGGCAGGCCTTTACCCTCCTAGCCTTCCAAAAAGCCTTGAAGACCTGGTTTTCCCTGCAAGCATAGGGGTAGTGTGTCACTGGAACCCAGAAAAGTTGCTTGTTGGATGTGAGAGGTATATTGCTTTTGGGGGTCTTGGAGTTTTATGCTAGCTTTTATGTTTTTTATTGTTTTTGTTATTGTTTGTAAGCCACCCAGGGTTATGCTACATAAGATGGATAGCTATATAAATCAGATGGATGGATGGATGGATGGATGGATGGATGGATGGATGGATGGATGGATGGA